TTTCACCACTATCTTATAACATTTTACTTTAAAGCCTTGTTTGACAAAGATTTGCCATTTAGAAATGTCTGTCTAAAAACAATATTTTAAGAGATGTTGTTATAAAGCTACGGTGCTCAAGTTAAATTGTGCATTTGAATACAAATTTTTTATCCAACTTTTTAACGTTATTATTTATGACGTTACTATTATAACCCATCACCTCTAAAAATTTGCGAGCTTGCTCCGTCCTTCTCAAGAGGCTACCAGATATTTTTATTGTTGATCTCATAAATTAAGTTGGATCGGAAGAACTCGACATCATGAGCAGTGGTGGTTGTGGTCGGCGACTTCTTTGCCGAACGGTTGGTCATTCCTCAAAGCTAGCGGGAAGAGTAGCGGAAGCCATATTTGAGCTTGGTGATTCTTCTGAAAGAGAGGGAGAAGGAGTGGATTTCAAGGTTCGTTGGCGGCTCCATGGATGCTAACAGAACGTGGTTTCAACTCTTCTAGCCACAAGCTATATAAAGGGAATTGCAACAACCATTTTTTTTAAAAAAAAAGGCCTTACTTTCCCAATTGAGGACAGAATACCTGAAGCTACTATGATATCTCGAGCAAATGACACAAGAAGTTGTTGGCAGAAGGCACCAAAGCTTGGCAAATCCATTTACATGGGTTCCGCTGGAGCACTTACTGCACATCGTTCCTAAATATAACTTTTTTAATAAAAAATTATTTCTAAACAGTGGGAAACAGAGGAACACTCCTCAAAACGACGGAACGAAGCTCGTCGATCGCGATCTGAAATGGAGATAAATGTCATTTGCACTAAAACGCTTTTAGAGACATTGAACCACCAAACGAGCGGTGGGCGTTCGCTTGACATTTTATGAAACGGAATGTAGTATCGGTATCTCAAACAAAACCTAAGTTTAAGCAATACTTTTCTATCACACAATAAAGCTGAAACATTCTCCCACTTCAATCATCACATTTGAATTCTACTAATAACATCTCCATCTATATCACCATCACTTTGAACAATAGACCCAAGATATCTAAAGCATACACTCATTTTAATGATTTGATCACTCATTTTTACAACTCAACCATTAAATCTACTGCTACTACTAAAATTATATTCCATGTATTCAGCTTTAGATCTAATCAAAAGAAAGCCTTTAGACTCTAAATTTAATCTCCATAATTTATGCTTTTCCTGAACTCTTTCTAAAGTCGTATCCACAAGAAAGATAACATCAACGAAAAGCATGTACCAAGGTACATCCTCCTGTAAATGTTCAGTAAAAGTATCCATAACTAAAGCAAAAAGATATGAGTCAAAAGTTGATCCTTGATGTAATCCAACTTAAATAGAAAAATACTTGGTCAATCCTTCTTCTGTTCGAACACGAGTAAGAGCTCTAGTATATATATATTTTTAATGACTTGAATAGAAGTCATATCAACACCTTTCTTTTCTAGAATTCTTCAAAAAACTTCTTTTGGAATCTTATCATTAATTTTTTATTAAATCAACAAAAATCATGTGTAGATCCTCAATCTCTCTATGCTTGTCCATCAAACCTCTTAACAAATGCATAGCTTCCCTTGTAGAATTGTCCGTCATAACTCTAAATTGATTTTGAGAAATATTTGTACACATCTTAACTTATGCTAATTAGTCTCTCGCTAAATTTTAATATTAAAAAGTTTAGTAAGCCAAGAAATCCTCAAATCTCCTACATATTTTCGCACTTCTATTAGGATGTCATCAGGTCCTACTGATTTCCACCCTCCATTTTCTTTGAAGTCTCATCTTCTTTTTTTACTGATGGGACAATAATATATATATATATAATTCAAAATCTTCATTGAAAAGCTTATCAAAAGATTTCACCCACTTATGTTGATATCCCCATATAAGAAAATCACTTTTTAGTTTGCATTTTTAATACATTTTACTTGAATTAAATCTTTATTTTTCTTATCTCTTTATTTGACTATATATATATATATATATATATACTCTTTTAATAATATTTAATAAATTATAAATATCACTAAAATATATTTAAGTTATATAACAACTGAGTTATGGGTGCTCCAACATAATCATATTGATCAATAAAAAGCTTTCTTTGATCTTTTTACATACTCTTCAAAAAATGCACCATAATAACTATTAGTTTGATAATAACTTGTCATGATCTAAAAATTAGTGTCATGCCCACCCTTACACTCAAAGTGCGAGCATACATGTGCTTTGATATCTAAATCATGGGAAATTTTTATCAAACTTTTGTTATCTTAAAACACTTATCACACAGTTTTCGTGTAGATACCTATTTGAAGATGTCATAAGTTCTAAGCATAAAGTATTCGTAAAATTGAGAAGCATCTAAGATCATAATTAAAATGGTGTACAAAATATACAGTGCACAAACAAAAGCAGGGTCTAGAATATGTAACAATGTAATTTGTGTACCTTATTAGATCCATCCAAATTTAATTTACTCAGTTTGAGCATCCTGAATGGCGGATTCAAAATGTGGTCCAAGAAAAATTGGTCATATTAACAAGGTCTTGATGAATATTAACATATTTTACTTATGTTGGTCATATAAGAGACCACCCAATCAACCCATGAAAGTGTCATTTAGATCTTATCATCAGTCACATAGAAGGTAAATTATCAAAAAGTGATTGGCATGATTAGGCACCAGTTAGACCACCAAAAACATTTCATTATTACAATAGAATTCATTCCTTAGATTCTAGAAGATCAAGCTTTTTGTTTTGGTCCAACATTACTCAACATTGCCTATTCTAGCCACTCATGAGATACCATAAGGTCATGCCATGTATGGAGCAACAATCATGCCCAAAGATTCCCTGGAGCATCGCAACAATTTTATCACAGGCCTTCATTAATCTTAAGAATCATAACCGCCCACTACTTAGGAATTGTCTAGTGCTCAACCCAAAACACCTAATCAACCACTGCACTAGTCACCACCAAAGCTAGTTTTCAGGGCTTTCAGGTTGGTATCTACCTCAGAACCATACCAATCTGGCTTAATGCCTATAAATACTCCATCCTTGGGCCTTTACGTAGGGTGAGACAAAAAGAGGAATTCAAGTTCTAAAACTCCACTTAGTTGTAACCTAAAAAAGAGAGATAGGCTGGAATTAAATGATTGTCTCCTTTCATTGATCGGTAGGATCTTCTCTGCCCCATCCTACAACGAATATAATACAATTGCCGAACCACTTATATATTGTGTTGTCTTCTCTTCCTTTTTCCTTTCCCCTCCTCCCTATTCCTATAACGGTTAACTTTCCTCTCCATCAAGATGTAAATCAGCCCAAACACTCTTACCTGATGAATTTATGGAAATTTAGATTCTCTCATTTCCATTGATCTTCTGTAGCACTTCCTGTAATTCACAAGAGGGGTTGTTATAGAGCCTTATCCTAGCATTCGCAAACAGGTTGTCTTGAACAGCTTGGTTTTGGGTACATAGGGCCAATGAAAGATTATTTCTAAGTGAGTTTATGAAGGTATGTGAAGATTGGCCAATGAAGAGAGCTATTCTAAATATTATATTGAATGACAGTCAGTTTCATGTCCCTGAGTTCTAAAAATATCAGAAGTGTTGCAAATTTAATTTTAATGCCCGAGATAGATTTTTTTTGGAGTTGATTACAAGCTATATATTGCAATCTCATCATACTATCACTACATTTGTCATAGGTGGATTTCCATCTGTTTTCACGGGCCCCCTCCCCAAGGAAAAAAGAAAGAAAGATTTTGCTTTAGATTGATCATAATAAAAATAAAGACAAATACAAAGTGCACCTAATTATTTTTAAAGGGAATCGAACAGTTTATCAAGAGGCACAAAAAGTGCAAAGACCAAAAAAATAAATAAATAAATAAAAGGAGATGTATGATTCATCCACTAAATCATCTGATACTTGAATTTCATTTTTGTCACCTTTCTTTAGGTAAGATTTAAACAAATTTAGGTGGTGTTTGGTTGTGCTCTGAATTTACGATAAATAGGATTTATCAAATTTGATCGTCAATGCGACGGAGTTGAACTCACGAGCTACGACAGAAATAAATTCTTAAATCCGGCTCACAATCAGATTTACTAAATCCAGATTTACGTCCTAAAAGAGATAGAATGCTGAAAATTTTCGATTTGGCGAAGATTTGATTTTAATTTTCATTTTTTTAAGTTTGGTTGGATTTACGCTAAATCATTGACTTATGCTTCCTAACAGGACCTTAATGTGATTCAAAAGGCAGAGTAATGCCGTGTGCGGTGTGACACCACCGGTGTCCTCGCATTCATTTATTTCTTTTGTCTATCTCGTCCTCAAGCATCCATCAACCTCTGCATATGCAGATCTCTTGCAACCAGCTCACAATCTCCCTCGCACTAAGTCCTTGAAGCTCATAGCAACGCTTGATCTGCGCAACCAGGATAACTCATGCACCCCCATCATCATAATCATGATTTCTAGCAGCTTCGCCAATCACGCGTTCCCATCTCATCTATCCCCGTCGCGTCCTCCTTGTACATTAACCAATTAAATCTTTAACTCCACAACCTAATTGTCAAAACACGCTATAATTCAATCAAATATTGCAGTTGTCATGCCAAATAAACAACAAGATTTAACCTCTTAAGATTTATCAAATTCAGATTATAAAATCTAATAAATCCCACTTGAATCAATTTCTAACCGTATCAAAACAGCCCCAAAAAGTTAATCAGACCATCTGTTCCTATAAAAACAAATCAACTGTTTTCCCCGGTTGAAACGCCTGAATTGTTGAAAATCGCTAACCTAATACAGATAAATAATCGCAAAGATAAAATCAATACAACGCTCAAATGTCAAACAAGTACTGAATCATTACGCCTTCACAAAAATAAAAAAAATAAAAAAAAGTTTCATACAAGAAATTTAAGATGGAAAAGATGAGAAAAAAGGATCATTACCCCATCTAAGCATGGCTCACAGAACCGAACACCTTCGTGATTACGAACATTCTCCGATTCCTTTCCCCTTCTTTCTGCTTGCACAGACGTATAAGATTAATCGTTTGGTAAAGAGAGAAAGGAAGGCGCGTTTCGTGGAGAGGGAAAAAGTGCGTTTCGTGCCTATTCTTTAACCCACGCAAGAGGAAATATATGCAATTCTTTAACCACGTTCGAATGACCGTCCAACCAACTTCATTCTAAAATTCTAATTTTAATTATTTATATATTTTTCAGAGACGAGTGATCATCCAATAAAAAGCGATGATATCTAGGGCTGTTAACACCGCTCCTCGTTCGCGAAGAAGCTCGTGTTCAGCTATCATAAATAATACGAACAAAAATTTGTTAGTTCATATTCGGCTCATTTTTGCTCGAATTACTTATCAATTATATTTATATATATATATATATTAATAAGTAATATTTTTTAAAAATTTAATTGACTACAATGCTACCAAGATTTATAATCAATTAAAAGAATTAATTAAGAAAATATAATAAAAATTAATAAATTAGATTCAAATGATGCTTTAATAGAAAGAGTAATTTTTAATCTTGCTCCAATTCTTAACATCTTCTGGCTACGTGCTTAGGGTTGTCAAAACAACTCTTTGTTCGTGAATAGCTCGTGTTCGGCTCGTTAAGCAAACGAACTGAACACGAACACACTTTTTGAACTTGGAATATAAACGAGCAAAACACGAGCTGAGCTTGGGCTCGCTCGTGTCCGGCTCGTCTACACCCCTAATGATATCATCCAAATTTAATTTATTAAAAATAAATTAAAAGATTGAAAAAAAAATAAAAAGGAAAGATAGAAAATGAAAATAGAATGGGCCCCTCTCTAGAATCCGTCTTTGTGCACCGGAGTTGCTCACAAGTTTAGGGTGGAGCAAAATTAAGGAGATGGAAGCGTCCAAAGGGCGAGCCAAGCAAGGGTTGCGTGGTAATAACTATTGTCAAAATGTGGAATGCTTTATTGATAAAATGTCAAAAGGAACAATCACACTCTTTTACCACTACTACTACCCCTGTGAAAAACAAGGCACGTTGAACTTGTCGAACAAGGGAAAGGCAAGTGTCTTTTTATCTACAATGCACGAACGTGTTAAACAAACCAAGCAAAATATATATTTAAAAATTTCTAAATTATTTTAGAAAACATATGAGCTTGTATTTTAGTTTGGGGAAGATGAATCCAAAGGGGTCAAAAGTGTCTTCAGATCATGAACCACTTGAAATGGGTTGTACTGAATGTTCGCGTCCAAAGATAATTATAAATTGGCCCAAGTTGCACATTAGTCATTAGGAAAGCTTTCAGGATTGTAACTTATGGAAGCCATTATGATCTCTCCAAGCTATGCAACTGTACAATTTTTTTTGAATTGTGCTTAAGCAGTTGTTAAAAGAACAATCTGTGAAAAAAACTCACCATCATTTTCTTTATAGCCCATAACTTGGATACAAAGCTTTCTAACATTTTTGCGACTCCATACGCCCTCAGCATATAAGTCTTCAACGGCATTTTGTTATCCAAATGAACATATTTATACCTAAATTAGCACATTTCATAAACATTTTTAAGAGGTCTTAAAATTAAATGCATCCTAAAATTATTCTAAGTGATATAATTGTTAGATTTTTTATCTATCAACTCTTTAGGTTTTATATTGTGGAGGGCTCGACAAGTGACTCTAGATGTCAATATTGATCCGCCATCATCAATCATTAATAGATTTGGATTGTGGCTATTAGAAGGTTGCATGATAAATCCCATCCAAATCGATCACATTGAACCACTCAAAGATTTATTTATTAGTATTTAACCTCCAAACTTTAATTTCATAATGAGAATACTTATTGATTTAACCTCCCAACAGTCTTATATAATATCTAACACATAAATATTTTTATTTATTAGTATTTTAGCACCACATCATTATTTTAAAAAAAATAAAATACATCTTTTCAAATATAAATGTACGAAATCAATGCTATATATATATATATATATAATAAATTTGGACTTTTATGAGATAAGAACTGCACGGTATAAATGTCTAAGTCAATTTTTGGTTACATCAACGCTCGGAACTCGCGCTTAAATAACCCGATTGAAGTTCCCCAAGTGAGACGGGTTGCCACTAAAAATAAATTATAATTTCAATAAAATTAATATTTCGTATATAGTCCAGTATTTTTTTTTTTCTTCGGTATGCATGCGGAGTTCTCTCTGCTGGAGAAATTATTTCATATGAATTGGACTGCATGCGGTATTTGATCTTTACCGTCGATTACCACGATCAAATTAAAAAAAATTAAAAGTGAGTCCATCAAAATATATTTTTGCGATGATTGATGGTGGAGATCGGACACCACATCAATCTTTGCATGCGGTGTCCAAATTTCTATCATATTACCATAATAAGCGTATGCTGAGAATATTTTTTAAAAATACTCTATTAAAAAATTGCTATTTCAATTTCAAGTTTTAAATTAAACTTGATAATTGGCTGTATATAATAATACATGTGATACTTATAAGCTTTAATATCAAATGTAATCACTCAAAATAATGAGTTTTAATTGATATGTAAATTTAAAGTAGTAGGTACACCCTAATATTTAAATTTTTGTTTCATACTACTATTAAATGGCATTAATACTCTTTTAGTAATATTATTTCTTTTCTAATTTCTTCTTTGCCAGACAGCACATTTATAATGTTATTTCCTGTATTTATTTGTGAAAAATGTGCATACATGCCACATAACATGTGTTTACATACCCAACATCTAAAATTTAATATTTAAAAATGAAAATGTGTATTTAGTTTTAATAAGTTAGTAATGATAATATTTTTCATGTGATGATAAAAATTTAAATCTTGTATGCATAAATATGAAAGTTTTAATATATTAGATATATAGAATTTTAAGAATATTTTGATATATATGTAAATGCGCTTTTATTTTGACTATTAAACTACTTATATTGATCATTTAGCTTGTGGTGGGAGGGAATTAGGAGTAGGTTGACAACATTTTGATCAACTACGGGATTCTTGGTATTGTAGTGGCCACTGGCCACCACTCTTATGATGGGTCTAATGAGCCTTCGTGATGAACGCATTAGATAAGGGAGAGGAGATTGATTAAGACACTGGAATCAGCTAGATTCGGTCATACTGCTCCAATCGGCCATCTCAATGGCAAAAATTTAGAAACAGACCACTCAATCTTTATGTGTTGGCGATTACCCGATCAACCATTCCGTAGCCGGCCACCTGGTTTTCTTCGATCAGCAACCCCGCTGGTCAGCAACTCAACGAGTTGGTCATGCGCCAGCTGGCATGCATCTAGTTGTGGCAGGAAGTTCTCCCACAGGACTGTCAAAACATAAAATATTGGATAAGGAAATATAAGTATGATTATAATAATAGAATTAGCGACTTCGAGCCATGGAGAATCAGAGTGGGCTGGAGGGAAAGAAGTCGTCCCGAACAAAACTCTTGACGAAAGGCCAGCAAGCAGTGGAATTGGGCTTGTTAAAAGTCTCAAATAACCTATATTGATCTCTTGAAAGTAAGAGTAAAGATATGATTTTATTTTTGGTGCTCCTATCATCTATAAATAAAATGAATATTTCATATAAATTGATTTTTTGGGGGCTCCCCCCACATATAATATCTATTTTTTATAAAATAAAATGAATCTACTTGCCCATGAATACCCATTGCCCTCCTATTATTCCTATTCCTCCTCTTATTCTCTTTTCATTCTCTCTCTATTTCCCTCCATCCCTTGGGCATGAGGACAGATTTAAATTCTAAACATACATTAAATAAATCTTTCTAGTGATGGAATATTAATGCACGCCAACATTTTAAATACATATTGCATCATCATCGGATGATAACAAAGAAAAATTACAAATAAACAAATAATTTCTCAAAGCATTACCTTCGATCCATCTTACGAGTCCCTAGAAGAGCATATGGCAGTCAAAGTGAGACAGATGTATACTAAGTTTGTTTGTCGAAGCATGAGCTGTAGCCAAATCTATCTCTTGCTTTTAATCTTTGAAGTCCTCCACTTTGTTCATTTTTCAGGCTTTGTGAGTGCAATTGCCCGACAGCTCTGAATATTTTTCTGTTAAAAGACTTCACTTTAAAAAAAAGAAAGAAAGAAAGAGGCATGCTATGGTGGGCATACATCAAATACTTTAATGAAGCTCCCATAAGTGTGATATGTTATCATTTTTTGCATTATCTTTCCAATATATATATATATATATATATATATATATTGGGATGATTTACATACATAACAATAAGTTCTCATGTATTTACATAACTAGCACTTAAACATTAATTTTTTTATATATGCCACCTTATTTATGTATTTTATTATATTTAAAAGTTAAAATGTGGTATTTTAGATGTGACATGAAAGTTTTGGGTTGTATCAATGCAGAAAAGCAAAGTTTGGGTGTCAGATATATAAATACATAAGAATGGGGGGGTATGTATGTAAATGCCCCCTTTTTTGGTGCAATGGAAAGGTACATGGCTTGAATTTGTGATACTTATACTATGCACCATACACAAGATCTTAAGATTATTAACTCATTTGACACTATTTTGATAATTTGAAAATTTTTCTTGTTTTTTTTATGATTTTGTTGTATCATCTAATTAAAATATTTTTGCATGTAATACTTGAGCTTTGCCTCTCAATATTTTTCTGAAAAAAAAGCTCCTGCTCTAGCAAAGCCACTTTTTATGGGAATCATCAACTTTTGATGGGAATAAGTATTTCTATTATAAGGTTTTAAGAGTTTGGAAGCACCTATAAATCTTCTATCAATAGTTAGATGAAGTCCACAATGATGTGTTGGGAGATGTAAATAGCGGAAATAGATTTGAGAGATTAGAAACAAGATTTTGAAAGAAGGTCGCAAAATTAGAAAACACAAAAAATATCATTTTTAACGTTAAAAAAAACTAAGAAAAAAAAAAATATTATGAAGAAAATGAGGAGAATAGTACTAATTACACAATGCTCGAGCCTCTTCACACTTTGGAGCACTCCTGGACACTCATCTCCTCTCATTTTCACAAGCAAAACCGAAGCTCTAAGTGAAAACTGCCTCAAATTGGTTACATGTGTCAC